GGGTCACCTGTCCCAGCTGTGTCTCCTCCCAATCTCCCATGCACCCCCAACTTCCTTGCCAGCCTGGCAGTATGGGAAGCAGCAAAGGCCTTGGCTCTGTGTGAGCTCTGCTCAGCAACAACAAACACATCTCTGCATTATCAACTCTGTGCTCAGCACAAATCCTAAACACAGCCCCATACTAGCCACTGGGAAGAAAGTTAACACTACCCCAGCCCAAACCAGCACACTGGTCTAGAAAAAAAAAACAACAAAACCCCAACAAACATTTCCCCTTCTTCTGGGAACTTAAAATCTTTCCTTTGAAGAGTTAGAAGCCAAAGTCTTTCACTTAGTCTGGAAAGAGAAACAGCCTCCTGTTGTTTTTAAAATCAAGCTTCAGTGTTACCTCTCTAAGGGCAGTGAGGGCTGAGCTGTACATCCCAGGGCTTATAGGATCTCCTGTATCTTGTGATCTTTGAGTTAGGAGATGGGATGTTACAAAAACCCTAAGTGTGCTGTGGAAGACCTACTGAAGGGCCTGAGCTGCTCTGCTTGTAGAGATATCATGTGGAAGGCTCAGCAGGGTAAAGAGCAGCTGGAATACCAATGAGTGGTCTGACAGATGTTCATCTTTCTGACTTGCTTGATGTACACCAGGGTCAAAACCTGCACCAAAGTGCCCATTTTGGCTGAACTGAATCCTGAAGTAAACAGTGTTAGGAAAAAACTCCCTGGCAAAAGACATCCAAAAAGCACCATAGTCTCACCCCAAACCATTTGTATGTTAAAAGCCAAAACCTGAAATTTTTCAGAAAATAAGGTAAAGGGAAGTCTGATACGTTTCATTTAGTTACTGAAAAAAATACCTCACTTGGACAGAGCAAGTTACATATTTCCCCAGCCCTGTCTGACCTCTCTTTTGCCCCTTTGAAAAGCCCTGAGACCAAGCTCATAGCTACTTCACAAGAACTCCAAGGATTGATGCAATGTTTGCAAAGCCCTGTGCAAACACTGAGCATTGTTAAGCACAAAGTTGTCACCTTAGCAAGAACTTCTTGCCAGGACAGTCTGTCAGCACTTTGAAACACACAGGGAGACGAGGTCACATTTTTCCCAGCTAGCTTTTTGGTGCAAAGAAAGTGTTTGCTGTATGCATTTTTGCTTCTCAGGCAACTGTGGAAGAAGTACAGCACACATGGTTATCTCGGAGTGCATATTGTTTGACTTCCTCGGCTGAAATTTGTCACCTCCTTCCCCTGGGTGAGGTCCAGTCATCATTCACCATGAACTCCCTGCCCAAGCAGCCCTGGAAGTCAGTAAGATTTCATGCAGTGAGGGCACTCCACTATCAGCCTTCCTATACTGGTGGAGAGGCATAAGCTTTGCAGAAGGTTAAAGGCTGTAGTGAGTACCTGAGATGTCACAGGTGTAGAGCTGAGCATGTACACCAAACACAGGAATGGCAGCACTCAGCCTGAGGTGGTCACAGATGAACTCCCTGTTAGGACCAGGTCTGCTCCCAAGCCAGGGCTCAAAGAATTTCTACTAACTGCTTTCCAGCTCCAACTTCAGAGGATGCAAAGTTGTAACAGCTTATGATGCTTCCTACCAACTTAGTTCTTGCAGAGGGATGCTACACCAGTTTTGCTTCTGAATTTATAGCTTGGTGCATCTGGCCAAGTTGGTAGGCTGCAAGGTTCAGGTGGGGCCGTGGGGAGGAGGCACTTGTTGCTATTCAAACTTCAGCACCATGTAGCACCAAGCAGAGATCAGAGTGCTTTACTCTGCTGAAGGTGGCCACTTCCCCTGGACTTGGCGCTGGTGAGGCCACACCTTGAATTCTTCTGCTTCTCATGTGCAGTGCAGAGTAAGCCAGACTTTATCACTAGGGAAATTCAAGTTAGGTATGTGCTGGGAAGTAATAAAACAGAGGAACAAGTTGCCCAAAGTCCATCCTTGAGGGTATTAATGATTCAAGAGCACCTTGGAGTCACTGAGGGCAACTGTGGGTTTGGCTCTGCCTTGAGCAGGGAGAGGACTGGCTGAAGTGACCCTTCCACCTAAATGATTCCCCAGTTCTAAGACTTCCAACAGTGGAAACCTCAACTATAGAAAATCATAGAATCAGTCATAGAATCATTGATTGATATTGCTTCCATATATCAGTCATTGATTGATATTGCTTCCATAGATTGGAATGATCAGAAGGTTTTAAAGTGGCATCAGCATATAAGTTAGCTCCTTTAGGTAGTCACAGCACAGCCAACCCCTTACACAGTGAGCTGATTTTCTGCTCTGGAGAGAAGAACTAGGAGCAATTCTAGAGGTGTTTCTCATTTCACACATCAGTCCATGCCAGCACTGCCTGGGCCTGTGCTCTGACTGCTGCTCTCCCTGTCTCCTCAGCACACTGCTGCTGGTGATGAAGGTGGAGGACAGTCCCTGGTGTCTCCTGGGAGCTGCCTGGAGGATTTCCGAGCGACTCCTTTCATCGAGTGCAACGGCGCGCGCGGCACCTGCCACTACTTCGCCAACAAATACAGCTTCTGGCTCACCACCATCGACCAGCCCTTCCAAAGCAAACCCTCTGCAGACACACTCAAGGCAGGACTCATCCGAAGCCACATCAGCAGGTGTCAAGTCTGTATGAAAAACCTGTAGAAGCTTTTCACAGCCCGAGGAACCACCTCAGCATGTGGCTCTCACACAGTGGAGCCTTCTGTGGTGGTTAGACAGCTGAACAAATCGTGTTGGTGCTTTTTTAACTTATTACCTCAAGAGCTGAATGGAAATTAATGTTTTTTAATGTCTCTAAACCAAAAGAATTATAGCACAAATGAAGCCTAACACACAGAGCTAGTGCTCTGTTCTCCTACTACACAGTATATAAACACACTTTTTGCTAGTCTAACATTACATCATTTGCCAAATGGTAGGAATAGTTGCAGCTTTGGAACACCAAAAAACCCTTCAGCAATAAATGGTTGCCTTGGTCAGATACCCACTGCGTTTACTTGGAGAGGATATATGTTTCTTTCTTTTTCCTGTATTTGTCACACCAGTAAACACTAACAGCTGCAGCTCCATAAATTAACACAGAAAATCAAAGTGCTCAACCCTTGCAAAGTCCTGATGATGTATTGTCAGCCAAAACACTTCTGTCCTGCCTTGAAACCTAACTTCAGTTTAAGTGCCTTGTGCTTGGGCATTTCAGATGCATCCAAACCAATCACCTTGTTATGTGTTTGGTTTCTTTCAAGCCTCACCAAGCTGTAGCACTTACCCACTGGCAACAGCAGAGAAGCCCAAAGTCCTCCCAAAAATATTAACCACAAAATGCAACTCTTCTTTGGTGAGGAGAATATACAACATTGAGAAGCATTTTGTTTTTAAACTTGATGCTGTTTTTCCTAAACATAGCCCAGGCCAAAGATGTCTGGCCCCACCATGCTGTGGACATCTCCAGGAAGCAAAGCATTTACTTGGCACCACCTTTCCCTGGAGAAAAGGCTTGCTAAGTGCTCAGAATGGCTAGCTCTTTTCTTCTGTAGAGAGAAGCAATTCAGCCCAAAGTTGTCTTGCAAGGGGGGAGGAAAGGATCAGCTGCAAATTTTGTATTCACACAGTCTGAATATACACCTGAATGTGTCAAACTGAAGTGGAAGATACCTCCACAGCAATGCCAAGTGATTTTTCAGTAGTTCACCTCACTCCTGCTTCAGGTGCTTCTTGGCTTTTATAATTACATTCCATCCTCACTGTATCATAAATAAAACCTGTTTTTTCTACACCTCCATTTGTTTGTGATTTCTCCTTCTCAAACTGTGGGTTTCTGTCTGATGCACATGGGCTGCTCTGCTGGGTTAATCTGCACCTAAGGAATTAGAAGAGCACTCCCAGAAAGCTCCTCCCACTGAAACTCAAACACTTCAACCAGGCACACACTTATCTCGTGGCACTACAAAAGATCCAAGAGGAAACCTGTGTGTCTAAAATTGCTTCTTTAAACTGAATGACTAAAATAGCACTTCATCTATTGCTAGAACAATTTAAGCCAATAAATTGTGATGTTGTAGATGAAAATAACCTGTAGAGGAAAATAACCATGCTCTGCAATGGTCAGGAAACCAACACTTGCCAAACTTGACAAGTGTTCCCTGCACAAAAAAAAAATTAAACGTATAAATTGAGTTCAAGATCTTGGAATCATTGGATAGTTTGGGTTGGAAGGGACCATAAAGGTCACCCAGTTCCAACCTTCCAACCTCCTGCCCTGGGCAGGGACACCTCCCACTAGCCCAGGCTGCTCAGAGCTCCATCCACCCTCACCTTGAACACTTCCAGGGATGGAGCAGCCACAGCTTCTCTGGGCAACCTGTGCCAGTGTCTCACCACCCTCACAGGGAAGAATTGCTTCCTAATATCTAATCTAAACCTACTCTCTGTCAGTTTGAAGCCATTCCCCTTGTCCTGCCACCACATGCCCTTGCAGAAAGTCCCTCTCCAGCTTTCATGTAGGCTCCTTCAGGTACTTTCCTAACACAGTATCTGACTTAGATTAGTTGCACATACTGTTAAATACATCCAGAAACAGAGAAATTGCCTGAGTTTGACATGATAAACTTGCCATATTGCAGCACTGAAAGGCAAAGGCCCCAAACAAACTGATCATAGCACTAGTTGTTTCAGCTAAATAAACTAAAAGCATTGGACTACACGTGAGATGAATCCATTCCACAGATGCCAGTTCTTTTAAATGATACGTGGCAGTACCAAATACCCAAGAACAGACAACTTACCTCTTCCAGGTGTTACATCAGTGGGTACAGGATGAGCACACAACTATCACTTGGGATTTTTACAGCACATAATTCTGGCAATGAAGCACAGAATCACAGGGTCAATGAGGCTGGAAGGGACCACAGGGGTCATCTGGTCCAGCCTCCCTGCTCCAGCAGGGCCACCCTAGAGCACATGGCTCAGGGTTGTGTCCAGATGGTTCTGGAATATCTCCAGTGAGGGAGAATCCACGACCTCTCCGGGCAATGTGTTCAGTGCTCAGTGACTGCACAGGGAAGAGGTTCTTCCTCGTGTTCATGTGGAACTTTCTGGGCATCAGTTTTTGCTGTTCCCTCTTGTTTTCTTGGTTTCCCCCACTGAGCAGAGTCTGATCATCCTCTTGGCACTTTCACTGCTTTAAGGGCATTCAAGTGGAGGTTACACAGATCTGTTAGAACCAATTAGGTCAACAACAACAAACTATTTGGATTTTCCTGGCTAATACATTGCCTAATCTTCCTACAAAGCTCATTTTCTTGGTACAGAAAACTTCAGCAGATAGGTCTTCCACCAACAGCTCCTTTGCCTCTTCATGTTCTCTGACTCACGTGAGCTGTTCTTAACCAGTTTGTTCAGAGCAGCACAGACACAGCATTGAGTGGAACAAACCAACCACAACCCCCCCAAGGTGCTAAGCAGGCTTGAACTTCTGTACTTTGTCTGTGTCATGTGCTGCAGGTCTCTGTGCTCTCAGCTGTGTTTCTCCAAAGCCTGTGCAATCACTTCTTTGGGAAGGGGAGAGAGTTCATGCACACAAACACGTGGAACTCGCAGCAGCCAGAGGATTTCACCTGGTCCAGAGCACTGCCTGGAGGGAACTGTTGTACCCAACCTGCCTCAGCTGCAAGTTTACCTCCTCTCCCATGAAAACAGGCTGGGAGAGCTGGGGTTGCTCAGCTGGAGGAGAGAAGGCTCCAGGGAGACCTTATAGAAACGTTCCAATACCTAAAGGAGACTTAAAAGAAATATGGAGAGGCATCCTATAGCAAGGTCTGTAACAACGAGGCAAGGGACAGCAGCTTTAGACAGAGAGAGAGAGAGATAGCTTAGGTTGAACAGAAGGGCATTGTTACCATGAGGGTGGTGAGACACTGGCACAGGTTGCCCAAAGAAGCTGTGGCTGCTCCATCCCTGGCAGTGTTCCAGACCAGGTTGGATGGGGCTCTGAGCAACCTGGGCTAGGACAAGGTGTCCCAGCCCAGGGCAGAGAGTTGCTCTGAGAAACCTGATCAAGGTGAAGACATCCCTGATCACTGCATGGAGATTGGACTAGATGAGATTTCGTAGAATCATAGAAATTAGGGGTTGGAATGGACCTTACAGATCATCTAGTCCCAACCCCCTACCCTGGATGAAGCCTTAAGCAACCCTCTCTGGTGGGAGGTGTCCCTGCCCGGGGCAGGGGGTTGGGACTAGATGATCTGTAAGGTCCATTCCAACCCCTAATACTCTGATTCTATGATTCTTCACTCTGGTCACAGCTCAGTGTGAGCTCCTGGGTCACCGCAAGCATTGGAAAACTCTAGGAGCTGTATGAAGTGTTAGCTCCTTATTTCTGCAGCCAGGAGAGAAACCATCCATGTACCTCATTATTGCTCCTTCACGTGCCTTTCACTCCCCAAAAGGCAGTTTATCTTCCCTTCCTCCTGCATTAACCAAGTCTCACGTCAGAAGATGCCAATCTACACTTCCCTCCAGGCAGAGGTAATTACTACTCCAGGTAGTAATGTCATGGCAGAGCTAATAGAAATCAAAGCTGCAGCTTTGCCTGAGCACAGCGAAGGAGGAGTGGGAAGGGAGACAGAACACAGGTACTCAACATCCTGGTGTCCCCATGAGCACCACAATGAGGTCTTCACAAAAATTCAGACAAAACTGACTCCTTCCTTCCCCCAAAACCACTTGGATAACTATATCAAAAATAATCACAAGAGGAAAAAAATGACAGATAAAACTTCCTCCTGCACCTTGCAATGAGCTGTGATGCTGCTTGTCAACACACAGAGGGAGAACAATATGTATCCACAGGGATTTTAATAGTTCAGCTCCTGAATTGTACACTGTCACACCTGACATAAAAAGGTTGCAATTGATTTATTAGCTACAAATATAAGTTAGACCTGGATTTTCTCTTGAAAGAATAAAAAAGTACCATGTGTTCAATCTTCCCAAGTCAGAGCTGCAAGGGGAAAGAGGATAATCATAAGAAAGTTGTCAGAAGGACACCGAGAGATCGTTTCTGTGCAGCATGAAATGGCAAGTCATGAAAAATCAGAGTCCTTCAAAGCTGTCCCAAGGATTGTCACTACCAAATGCACTAACACACCCTTTGCCTGAATTCAGGGCCCATGGGAACTGACAAGTCTTACTCCATCATTTCACTCACGTTCCCGTTTTTATCCACAGAACATCCCAGAAGCCTTGAATGGTCAGAAGATTTGTTTCTCTTTTTCACATAAACCATTTTTAGTCTATTTATACTGTGACTTCTCCTTTCTCCTGAGCTGCAAGCTCTTCTTGCTCCTTATTTCGCTGGAGCAAACAATCCCTCCCCTTTTCCTATGCCACACAGACGGTTCAGGCACAACACCCTGACTTTGTCCTTTTGGCTGGCTTGTAGTCCGTGATGTCCACAGTCTGTGGTGGCCCCTCAGCTTTCTGACGGACGATTATGGGGACGACCATCTCGAACACAGTTTCAAAGAGGTAATCCACCTTGTATCCTGTCTTTGCACTGGTCTCAAAGCACATTTTCTCAGCTGCTGGAACATCCTTCTCATCCAGCATTTTGTACTTCAGGATCTTTTTATAGAGTGCAATTGCATCCTCTGCGTGGACTTGTTTTCGCACCTTGGAGCCACAGCTGCCAACAGACTTCTCCCGCCTGTTTTCATCCACAGCCGAGCTACAGTCATCGCTGAGGTCAACCTTGTTTCCCACAATAGCGAAGATGCAGTCAGCACTTGCACTGTCTGTCAGTGCCAAGAACCTCTCCTCCAGCTCCGTCAGGCTCTGGAGGCTGTTCACGTCGTACGTGAGGATCACAGCGGCTGCTCCTCGGCAGTACATCGACCCGAGGCCATGGAACTGCTCCCGCCCTGGCAAGGGTTGAAACACAACACCAAGTTAGTCTGCTGGAAGCTACATTATGAACCAAGTGAAAGAGCTGAAGGAGTTCAAAGCGAATTTCACAAGTCTGGATGAAGCAGTCAAGGGAAAAATGTGCTATTTATAGCATTTACAGTTTTTTTCCTTCTGCTTCTCCTTAAGAGTCCAAGAGTGCCACAGAACAGCTCAGCTCACAGCTTGCTCAACTCAGATCTGTGGATGAGTGAGTGAGTGAGCTCACACAGCACTCACACGGGCAGAAAGCAAAACAGAGTTGGGTTTTTGGTTTCAAATTCCATACTAGTTGATTTATGTCACATTAACTACTCTTGTGAGGCCCCACCTGGAATACTGCACACAGTTCTGGTGTCCTCAACATAAGGAGGACATGGAACTGTTGGAGCAAGTCC